TGTTGCCTACCTCAGCGGAGATGGGACACATGCTGTTCTTTGTTTATTCAGTTCACAGCTGGACCAACTGCTTCTATTTCACACATGTGGCCATTTTAATAACTTATTACACTGTTTACATAGCACAGTATGGACACTAATTTAATAATTATACTATTTAATGTTTTGCTGTTAGCATAAGCATTAGTTTATTCATTTGCTTTAGTAAAACTTTGGTTTGAAAGAATTTACAGCAAAGTTAAATTATTATTATTCAAAATACATTTAACAGTAATTTTGTAGTTACTGGACCTCATTGTAAAGTAGCTTGGACATAGGGTTTGAAAATGAGAGACAAAAATACATTTTATCTCTTTAAGGCATCGCTAATCATTTCCTGCCATATATGATCGCAGTACAATAGTAGGTTATCTCCACTTTGGCGATCGCATCAGTTCCTCATGTGCTTGCACTACTAACACAATTACATAATTTCTACATTATATAATCATGTTCCCTTCACATGAGAGCTGCCAGAGAGACCGAATACCAGCTAAGATTATTCAATTCTATTTAAATTAAATGTTTAAATATTAAATGAAGGTAAATATTACATTCATGGTTCAGTGAAAAGGCTGTCCCCAAAAACATGAAAGCATGGTGTGTGAACACATCTCTCATCTCTCTGCATTAGATTTCACAATAGCCTGTAAGTAAGACTGAAGAAAGACGTTTTAAGAGGAGTGGGGAAAACAGCTGACTCTAATCCAACACCATGCAAGATTGTACAAGGAAACAGAGCTTGCTAATCAGATCCCAGTAATTACAATTGACTTCATTGCCAATTTGAACAAGCATCAGTTGTAAGGGTCAATCTGGAGAGAGCAGTAGCTGTATGGAATATTAATTTATTCTAAATTCAAAATGTCTTCCTTGTGGTGTTAATGTTAGCATTTAAACACAGCCAAGATACAAGAACTGCCTGTGCCCAGAATAGTTATCCCTTCAGGAGGTTTGAGTACACTGCACTAGAAAAAGAGGGTTATCCAAAGAGAATCCAGCAAGTCCCACACAGCAGCATGGGAAATCAAAAAGCAAAACACTTTCTGTATTACACCGTGCAACCATCAGTGACTGAATGATTGACATATAAAAGTGTGCATGCGATTCTTCATGTAAGTCAATATAACTAACCGGGGATGGGACTTAAGATTTGATGTTGCATTATCTTTTGCACTAGCTTATCTGAAAGTACTCTGACTTCACAGTAGAATAGAACAGCAATACATGCACTGGTATGACTGATGGTATTACATTTTAGAGTTATTTTTCACTTATAAACTACATAATTGGATAACAGTAATGGGATACTGTCATTTTAATGGAAATGTTAACCTTTAATATTCTCTGTTCTCTGTTATAATGTTATTTCCTCAGCAAAAACATACCTGGAGTTGTGTTTTGTTTCACACATGTTTCACAAACAAACTCTGCATATTTAGGCTGAGTTCTTCTCTGTTCCACCTTGTGATGCCATGTGGTAATACAGGAAGTGCTCCACTGTGTTTTTAAACTCCATACAGTTTCACTAGAATTATTTGGATAATTTCAGCCCTGGAATTGTCTATCTCTACTGAACTAAAGATAAAAGGTAACTTGAAAACATCACAAGGTGGAACAGAGCATTTTGAGCTTTGGAGATGTAGACAACTCCGGGTAAGTTTGTGTTGAGGTAACATGATTTAAAGCTCCCAAGAATCCATTTTGTGTAATATAAGACTTTTAAGTGATTTATAATAACTAACTCAGACCATATTTGTGCTAATAATGACATGTACATTTGTTAAAGAGTAACAGCAGAGTTTAGTATGATCTCACTCAACTATACAAGAATATCTGTCAAATATCATTCAAAACCTGTCATATTAAGATGTCATATTTCTTGTATTTTTTTTTCTTTCTTGCAATCATATGACCTTTCCTTTTTCACAGAAATCCTCCTGAATGTTTAAATGTCACCTGTCTCGGCACGATCAGAGCGCCTCGGTGAAGGAAGAATGTAGGGAGTGGAAATCATGGGACCACCTGTCGCTCTGTCTGCCTCCACCACAACATGATCAGACGTCAGCAATGCAACATCTCCAGGTACCACACATACGCATCATTTAACTGGAATTTATGCTTTAATGTGCTTGGTTCAATTATCCTGGACTCTCTTTTTGTAAATGCGTGTATAACAAACCTACAGAACAAGCTTGCCTCATGCTGGATAAGCTTTTTCAAATAATCCAAGCTTACCCAAGTGCATATGATTTTTAAGATTCTCTCATTTTGACTTAATTTGATGGTATTATTACTATGGCAATTAGAAATTATAGTTTTACACCAATCAGGAAGCAATTTGCAAAGACAAGTTGAAAAATGTCTTGATAATTACAGGAAGAAGAGAGTTCTGAACATACCGATGACAATAGGGAGAATTCTGTCTAAAAGTTTGTCACGATGTACGCAAAAGGAACACATTTTTTCATATACTTTAGACATGATTTCCTCAGAAAAAAGATGTTTTGTTATATTTGTATATTCTTATATTATATTTCTTAAATATAATGATCTTAACTGTGTTTTAGAAATATGAGTAGTCTAACCTGTCACAGGCATTTTAGATGTGCAAAACAGCAGCTCTATCTTCACATGAATTCATTTTATTTTAACTTAGTTAAAATAGCTGATACTCAGGATTTAGCTCCCATGGCTCTCTATCACTCACACATATACAGTTGTAGCCTTGGTTAGTTGATGATACATGAGTCTAATATTCTGTTGGATAAGATGTTTAAGGTTGCGATGCTTTTGCGGCTTCAAAATAACTGATGTGAGCCAGAACAGTCAGTCTCTTTGCCTCCAGCAGAGACTGCAGTAAAAAGAAGTGTTTGTGATTCACTGCAAAATTGCTGACCTCTGTGCATCCATAACATGCTGCCATGACGAGACCAAATAAAAAAATAACTTCTAGCACATGTAATAAACTTCAGTCTCTGTGGAAGCTAATCAAATCTAAATATAAGTTACATCTCCAAATTAAAAGCTGTCTTTGATGGCCTGGTTATCTAATGAGGCCATGACCTGTAAACATGTCATAGGAGGCAGACATCTGTCAGCCAAGAGTCCAGCAGATGTTAGATGTTGTGCACTTCTCACACTGCACCTTGGCCCCACAGTTACAGGGCTTACGGTGCTGCAATAAGAAATACACAACAAACATGCTGCACCTGGAGTAGATCCTTGTCAACCCGTATTGATTTAGTCTGTGTTGCATAACAGCTTTCAGTCTCCAAATAGAAGATTGTAGAGTTTTGTGTACGAGAAACAATACTGAAAAGTTAACTGGATGAAGTCCCCGTGAATACTGAATGGTGCTTTGGATCTAATCTGACAGATAACTAACTTTTATTTGATTCTTTCTGCTGCGTCTCTGGTATGATCCGCTTCTGGGAGTACTGCCCTGTCATACATCATTTGAAAAGACTGTTTCCTGTTGCAGTGAATGGTTTGTCATAATGCAGCTAGTCATCACTGGTTTGTTGCTTCAATAAATATTTTTATTTCACTGTTACTGGTCACTGCATTCATGACTGTTATGTTTAAGGGGTTGGTTTAACATCTATCTACATTACACCAGAGTCTGCGCATATCAGTACGGTCTCCTCTGTGGAGCAGGTCGCTTGAAGCTGTGCTCAGAAAGGTCTAATGGCTAAAGACCTAATATAGATGTGGTGGTTTATGATGTAGGCTTCTAATTTAGTTACATCCAGCCATGTACTTGCTCAAGTATATTTAAATAGGCCCTAAAGCACTATTGAAATCCATTTGAAAACAGCTGTAAAAGCTTTAAGAAAAAGAGTTTGATGTTTTCCCCCTCAAAGCAGTAGCTTTTGCACAGGCTTCTGCTGCACTAATTGACCAAAAGACTAATTGTTCCTTTTATTTATTTGAGAAGTACACAGAAGATAGAAATGTGTGTTGTGTTGCTTATGCTTATGTGCTTATGCAGACCTTTTGTATGACTTTTTTTTAATAAAAGATCCTGAATAGACCATTAAAAAATATCTGTACAAAATGAAACAACCTTTCTATTTTTGATGCCTAAATATCACAATTTCCAAAAATGTGTTCTGAGTCAGAATTTCATTAAAATTATGAAAATTTGGTTTGAGGTTACAGTTGAGATGTGCTGATAAAACTGACTTTGATCTAAAAACTCTGAAACTTGAAGTTTCCTGAACCATGCTCAGAATACAAATCAACAAGTTCACTTTGCTGCAGAGAATGTTTTATGCTTCTCCATCACAATTTTAGGCAAATGCTGCTTGGTAAATGCAGCCGCATACATTAGGCCTATATCACAACACACTAAAGCAAAAATGCAAGGTCAGATGTGTGTCTATACGGTTTAGATTATTTTAAATGATCAACACAGCAAAAGCAACAAGACAAAAATATTTACATAACTGCAGACCTGTGTACCTGCACAAACATTATACAGAGATATGACATATCACACTGAGGGTAGGGTCCGTAAGAAAATGCATTCTCAAAACACAGCGATCTTCCTATAGAAATAAAACCTTAATAAAATGTATGTGTTAAGACGGTACCTTGCTGCTTTATGTGGCAAAGTTCCCTCATGTTTTTCCTCACTGCTCCATTGTCACAATGTTCTACTTTGACGCGGACTTCTCATTCATGCTCTGTAGCTGGCACCGTCACCCTCCTATTTGTGTGCAGCTGGCCCTTTCATTATTACACTTGATATGATAATGACATCATGTGTGCACAGCTGCACTATTTAAATGTGCACGTTTAATTGATATGACAAAATGAACGGGCAAAAACACCACCTAGTGCAATATTTACATGTTACAGAAAGCATGGAGCTGTCAGCAATGTTTCAGAACACCTTAACACAAGAAAATGCTGATGGGCTCAACACAATTGTAAATCAAATTAAATAATGCATCTTTTGAGAATCACAATAAAAGTTTATTCTTCTGAACAGGCTGAACATATACCGTGAATGTACATATACTTACATATTTGCAATCAACCTGCTAATACAAAGTGTGTCCAATGTAATCAAGCATGTTATAGTGACATATGCTTATTGGATTTAGTTTGGCTAATGTGTCATTATTGACATGCAGATCTAAAGACGATGTTAATGGTTGTTTGGATCTACATCCCTCTTTCCAATACTCTAAGGTCATTAAATACTGAGAATGCGTAATTGCGTTCTTTTTAAACAAACATAATCAGACATAGTGATACAGTCTCTCATTATAGCCAATAATACAATACATTTCAAAGACATTCCCTACATTGTGAAATGTTTTATTTACAGCAGGGCATAAATAAATTGTTTATTCCCGACAGAAAACGTATTCGGTGTAACTGGTCCAGATTTTGTCCTCGTTGGGGTCATTGCTGGTGTAGGCGCAGGTGCCAGTGGAGCTGCAGGCCACCATGTGGAAGCCCGCCTCTGTCAGCTTGTCAAACGCCTGTTCTAGAAAATTATATTTTAGGTAGTAGCGAGATGTGTATCTCTCCGGTGGTCGGTCGGGGTCTCTGCTCTCGTTTAGCGTTTCCCCAAATACTTCTTTGGCGAGAGACGTCTTGCCGCAAACGGTAATGCGCGCTACTCGCCGGAATTTGGCGTCAGTTTGAATGTCTCTTCCGATTGTGTATGAACCGCGGTATCCGATAGTGATATAGCCCGATCTTCTGGAATCTAACGACGGGGAGCGCACAGCCCCACTAGAAGACACGGTGCGTAAAGTCTCCATGGCACCAGAGGGGCCGCACTGCTGCGCACCTTCCTCCGTATCGCTCTGACTGATCTCTTCACTGATGGAGTTGTCCTTACTCATTCGTGGGCTTAAGCGTTTTGCCAGGTCCTGCAACTGAAAAAAGTCCGCCTCCCTCTGCAGTCGACTTTTTTCTGGGAAATAGTCCGGCAGCACTAAGTTGAGATCCCGGAGGTAGTCGAGGATGTAGCGGAACAAGAAGCCGTCTCTGTCCAGGAAGAAGCGCCCCTTGCTGTCGCGTGCCAAATCCTTGGGCGACTTTTTACTGAACATGTTCCACAGAAGTGAATCCGGCACCGCGACCAGAGTTTTATGTCTGGTGACATAGACTTGCCCACCGACATTGAGCTCAATAATCTCAGAGAAGGGTGAGCTGGAGTCGCCGCAAATGGACACTCCGCGCTCCGTGTCTGCCAGTGCCATGGTCCTTGTGCGTCTGGCTCCGAGGCGCACTGCACTGGAGCAGGATCAGAGGAAAGTGAGCAGCAGAGTGGCAGCAGCTTGTTTATGAAACCCTTTCTCACCACGTGTGCCAGCGCGCGTGCGTTATAGGGCACTCGGGGCTTATATTAACTATTCACGGTCTGTTTCAAGACAATATGACATCTTAGTGACGTGTTTTTTATCCACTTACAGGCCTATCACGTATACCGTTATACAGGATCATTGATAAACATCCGTATTAAAAAGCTGATGTGTGGATTTTTTTGTTGTTGTTTGTTTTATTCTTCAAGTTTCATTCTCACAAACCCATATGATAGTCTATAAAATATGTAAAGAGTGACACCCATTGTAGCAAACTTGGAAATGCAGCCACATCAGGCAAGGAAACACAAACTTCAATATTAACTCTCACCTTACCTCAAAATTCATTATGAGGGCTTAATCCACTCTGGATTTGATTAAATGCAACCAAACCCAAATCCCACCACACATCTGTCATCAATTTTACAAAAAATAAACAAGGTAATGAAATGTGTTTTACATAACTGTGACAATCCCTTAGAAAATCCTAAATGTTCAAATTGTGTATGTTGGTCAAGACTCATACTTCCCTTTTCACTAAATTCCCATCATGTCATCTACAGAAAAAGAAGATTGTGAAAGACAGGAGTGGTCAATTATGTGCATGAGATTTCCTATGAATTTAAGGTGCCCTTTTTCTTTCTTATAAATGGGTACTTGAGCATATTAACAGGTAAGAAGAAAATTGAAAGAGTGATGTAAATTCAGTAATTTGTCTAAACAAATCCTAGATTAAACTAAACCAAAACTAAAAAAAAGACAAGCACTGAGTCATTATGAAAGTCTTAACTTCTCTTTATGGTGTCACTGGGAAATTTGGTGCAGATTACAGGGACCTATAAAAGATCCAAGAATGTCATATTATCTTAGTCAAGAACAATGCTGCGCAAGGTAAGAACAGTGGTGTAGTTAATTTAGATAATTGATCTCTCTCTTTATATTTTGGTCTGAACAGCCTCATTTCACCTTTACAGGGTATTACAGAGAGCTTTGGTGTGGGGATCCATGCTCTTAACAGCGCTCAGTTGACAGATGGTGTGATTAAGAGGAGCAAAAGAATGATGCTTGACACTCTGGGCGTAGGGCTCATTGGAACCAGGACATCTGTCTTCAACAAAGCGCTCACTTACAGCCAGGTAGAATGAACTTTACTCTAGGACAATAGATATGTATGCCAATATATTACTATATAATTTGTGTTTTTTAAGTATGTGTTGAGTTTTCTTGATGCAGTTTTGTTTGCAACCTGTTAAGCCTTAAAAAAAGTAATAATATATTGTGATGTGGGAGCTACTGTGTCCAAATAATTTCCCTTGTGGGTCAATAAAATTTGTTTAAGCCTAAGTCTAACTGGAGCCACACTTGTGTCCACATCTAATTGCAAGCTTTTCTGTGTGTCTAATTGCAGTTATTCAGTTCTGAAGAGAAGAGCTGCATTTGGGGAAAATCCAAAATTAGTCTCCCAGCTCATTATGCTGCCTTTGTCAATGGAATTGCAGTAGGTGTTATAAGATACATGTGAAGACAATTTATTCTTGAACACACTCTCATTAGCACCACTTGTCTGGTAATAGGTTCATTCCATGGACTTTGATGACACTTGGCATCCTGCAACTCACCCCTCTGGAGCGGTGCTACCTGCTCTACTGGCACTGGCGGAGACAATGCCCCAAAAGCCCTCAGGACTGGAGCTGCTTCTGGCCTTTAATGTGGGCATTGAAGTGCAGGGCAGGCTGTTGAGGTTTTCCAGAGAGGCTCAAAACATCCCTGAAAGGTAAAAATATTCGTCGTGTAAACCAGCGGCAGACCATTTCTTCTCTGAGTGTCTTTATGCTGTCAAGTAAAATCTAAATACAGAATTTTTTTGTGGCATAATGGTTTATGGAAAATATTGCTATTATTATTGTTGCTATTCTTAAAGGTGTCCAATATGGTCATCATCAGCAAACTTGTTTATTTCTATTTCATTAGAAGACAATACATTTAACAAAAACATTATACTTAAAATTAGAGCTGAGCACCAAGGGGATAGAAATCAAATTGTAAACTGATCTTTGAGTATATGCCGTTTGGGTGAAATCATGATTATTAAGTTGTTTGCTGCATCTGAATACTCAAACACACTTTTCCACTCCCACTCCTTCTATTGGTCAGCTTCTGTCATGTCCTTAGTAAGTGACAGGAGGCTTTAAACAACCACAGTGAAGTGTGAACTCTCAGAAGAAGCAAATTACTTTATTTACCTTTTCAAGTAGAAATGAATCATAGTATAGTCAAAATCATGATAATGCTCTAAGAAAATCATGTTTTTGGCATATTATCCATCCCTCCTTAAAATATACAGTTATTGATATGTAACTTTTTTGTTTTAACAGATTTCATCCTCCCAGTGTGGTAGGGGTGATGGGCAGTGCAGCAGCAGCAGCTAAACTCTTGGGTCTATCCGCTTTGCAGTGCAGTCATGCTTTGGCTGTGGCTGCCTCCTCTGCGGGTGCTCCCTTAGCTAACACAGCTACCCAAACCAAACCTCTCCACATTGGCAATGCAACACGGAGAGGCTTAGAGGCTGCTCAGCTGGTTCAACTGGGACTCAAAGGAAATCCTGCTATTCTAGACATGGACTGTGGATTTGGGATCTACTACAGAGACTATGATCCGAGTGTTATGCCTGGCTGTGGTGACGGTGGGTTTGAATGGAGCCTAGAAAAGCAGGATGTTGCCTTCAAGAGGATTCCTGCCCATTTGGGAATGCACTGGGTTGCAGATGCAGCACTAGCGGCAAGAGCAAAGATAGAGGAAGTGAGGAGCTTTGAACCCAGTGAAATTATTAGCATCACACTTAGAGTCCCCCCATCCAAGTATATTAACTGCGCTTTACCCACATCACAGCATCAAGCCAGGCACTCATTTCAGTTCAATGCCTGCTCAGCTCTTTTGGATAACAAAGTGACCGTAGATTCTTTCAGCAAGACGCAAATAAATCGAAAAGCTCTGAAAGAATTGCTGTCCAAGGTTAAAATAGAAACACCAGCAGATAACAAACCAAGCTTTGAAAATATGTATAGTGAGGTTGAATTGCAAACCAATGATGGGCAACGTTATGCAGCAAAGTGCAATACTTTTTATGGCCACTGGAGGAAGCCATTGAGTCACGAGGACTTGATAGAGAAGTTCAAGTCAAACGCATCTGCAGTGTTGACTTCTGAGGGAGTTGAAGGCATTATTGATATGATAGAAAACATTGAGAATGAGAGAGACTGTGCTTCACTATATTCCTGTTTGAAAATGGCAAATCTTTCCCACAAGGTGTAATTGTTGCTATATATGAATGCCGTATAGCCGTATATATTAAAAAATGACACAATAACTTAATACCATTTATTTACATTATTGTCATGCAATGTTTTTTCTATCTACATTACTGAGACAATCGGTGTAGAGTAGCTGATTTGATTATGTAAATAAACATGTTTTAATTTGATCTGTGATGATTGATTATGCCTGTTGTAATCATATAAGTGCTTACAAATGAATCTTGCTCAAATAAGTCCAAAAAACAAATCAAGCCAGTTTTAGCACATCCTTCACCATGGAGCCGATGCCATCGAAGACCTCGTGAATAGGCGCGTCACACATGAAGGCGCAGGTGGTGACCACCTTGTTCTTCTCATCCACATGACTCTCACTGACACTCTTATTCACATGTGTGCATCCCAGCTGGTTAATAGCTGCTGCTGTATCAGCAGTGTTTGGATACCTAAACAAGTATTGAAAAACACTTAATTAGAGCTGTGCTGAAATAAATAATTGCAATAAATAGATTTAAAAAACACAAAATATGCACTTGCAATAAACTACCAAAAATAGGCACATACTTTTGATCCTTTTCAATGCCAACAGTGACTTCACATCCAGGAAACACTTTGGCAGCGAGCACAGGTGAAATACAGCAGAGGCCAATTGGTTTGCCCTCAGTGCGAAACGCCTGCAGCACAGCCTGGACCTCTGAGTTCACAGAGCAGTCTTTCCCCTGCACCGCCCATGTGCACAGGTTCTTGGCTGCACCAAAACCACCTAAACAGATACAACATTTATTATGCACTGACGCAAAAGCTATTTAAAAACAATGTTATACAGGTATGTTAGGTAAACTTCACCTGGGAAAATGATGGCATCGTGATCTTTGACGCTCAGTTTGGACAGGTCCTGGATGTTTCCACGGGCCAGCCTGGCACTCTCCTCTAACACATTTCTGGTTTCCTGTGATGGTTCTCCTTTGAGGTGATTTATCACATGCATCTGGTCAATGTTGGGTGCAAACATATTCACCTGCAAAGTAGCAAATGGAAGCTTAGTTTAGCTTAGCCCAGAGATTTAAAGGTGCACTGTGTAACTTGCTAGGACAAGGCCTGCCAGATGCTTTTCACTATGGAGATATTATTGCCTTGCTTGGAATGTCCCACAGTTTAACAACATCACCATGGAGACAAGCAGGTGATGCCACCAGGTCAAGATACGATGCATGTTTTTCAATGTATTTTTGAGGAGTAACACTTGTAATACAATAATAACGCAAAGAGAGGTAAATATAATGTCAGACTGTGGAACATTCAAGCCAACATCAACAACTTTCGGTTTCCGCTCAAGGGTTTCCCCTCAAGGGTGGGGAAACCGAAAGTTGAAAACTGACTTTCGAAAGTGTTCATGTGCATGGTTTGTTGCATGCCAAAATAGGTTTGTTAGAAATATGCCCAACTGCTGTTATATAACACACAGTTTAATGAGAAGTAAGTGCTCAAAACAACACTGCTCGCTTTCCCACCAGGTTTATGACTATTATTATTATTAGTTTATATTACAGTAATGCAAACTTACACTTGCACCTCCTCTGCTCAGATGTACCAAAACAGCCGAGGCCTCGTGTATTTCACTGCCATCAAAAACTCCGCAGCCCGCCAGCACCACAGCCACGCGTTTAGCCATTTCAGTGGAGTAAAAATGTGAGTTGAGACCCTGGATCGTCCTTAGCGTGAGAAGGCGTGGGGTACAGTGGCGCAGCAGACTGAGCATGGTGGAAAGGGCTGACAAAGGACGGAAACTGCTTCTTCTACGAGAGTTTACGTATACATTTACTCAGAGCGCCACCGTGTGTACGCTTTGTTTACTACCATCTTACATTCATGTGACCATCACAAGGAAGTGCAGAGCAATGGACAGGCTCTCGTCCTAGCGTCGACTTTTACCTCTATTTTCAACATTTATAGAATGACTTGTTATCTAGTTTTATTTCTTAGCTTATTACTGGGTTTTAGCTTTTTCTCTCCGTTAAGAAGCAGTGAAGAACAACGGCAGAAGTGGCCTGTCCCTTACAAGTAAGTCACTTATTTTAGTAAACAAAATCATGTGACACAACCGTCGAAACTTTTTTCTTGATTTGAGCTACTGTGATAAACGCTGTTAAACTCTTAAACTAAAAACAGTGACTCAACTTGATAATCTATGCAGGTTATGATAGGCAGATTTTTGTTATTATTTTTTCCCCCATGATTTTCTATAGAAGGTTTACTCTTTAATATGTGTAGATTAATGATCAAAGTCTTAGGTTAGCTAGGTCATGGGTGTCCAAAATGAGGAAGGCCAAAGACTGATGGTGAATATAAACTTGCAGTAGAAAGCACACGTCTATGATGTCTGAGGGCTGCATTATGCCATTAAGAAGTAAAGAGTAAATAACGAAGACTAACGTTATATGTATATATCTGTATGTGCCTAAATGTGTGCTCTACATTCTTTCACCCACAGGAGGTTTGACTATCGGCCGGATGTGGACTCCTACTGCCAGGCCTTGTACCCCTTCTGTCCTACAGGAGATCAGGATGGAAGGATACCTTACATGACAGAAAGTGATGTCATCTCGGTTTATCGACTACAGACTCCTGTTTGGGAATTCAAATATGGAGATCTTCTTGGAAAAGTGGTAAGAACAAAGCCACCAAACCTGTGGTCGAATGTAACAAGTACAAGTAGTAAAGCACACAAACACTTTTTTTTTAACACTTATGGACTTTTTTGTGTGTGTGTGTGTGTGTTTTACTTTATTAACTAGCTACATTTGGGAGCTGGTATTTGTACTTTTCTACACCACATTTTTTAACAGGGCCGGAAAGTAAATGTATTTTTTTGTTTGAAGTTTTTTATTGATCAATTGAGTTGTTTCTGTTGAACAAAATTCACAACATTTGAAGCTTTAACTAATATTTTCATGGTTTACTCTCGAAGCACATTTTTAAATGGGTACTTTAATACTTTTATTTAAGTAGATTTTTCATGTTATACTTTTACTTGAGTATTTTTTTCAATTTTTTTTCTAGTATCTGCATTTTTACTTAAGTAACAAAAATTTATACTTCTTCCACCACAGCTTCACAAAAATCTATGTTGTGCTTGTTCTCTTTGCAGCATATTATGCATGACGCCATTGGCTTCAGTAGCTTCGAGATGAGGACTAATTTCACCACGGAGTGGTATGAACTGTTTCAGCTGGGCAACTGCACCTTTCCTCACCTCAGACCCAAATTCAATGCCCCATTCTGGTGCAATCAGGGAGCTGCCTGCTTTTTTGAAGGCATAGATGATTTACACTGGTCTCAAAATGGCACGTTGGAAAAAATAGGTGAAATCTCAGGTGAGATGTCAAATAATCTAAAATATATGAATCGTATAAGACAATTTTGACAAACTTAATTTATGTTGTTTAAACTGACTTTCTCCAGGCAACCAGTTCAATGACTTGGCCAAGTGGGTGCAGCAGGACAACAGCACTGGTATTTACTATGAAACCTGGACCGTGCGCTCGGACCCAAGCTCCAATGCCACAGTTTGGTTTGAGTCCTATGACTGCTCCCAATTTGTTCATCGCACATACAGGAAACTGACTGAACTGGGGGCTAAACTGTCCAGTCGAACACAAACCAACTACACAAAGATCTACTTGTACAGTGGAGAACCAAGATACCTGGGAAACGACAGTGCTATCTTTGGCCAGCCTGCACTGGAAAACCTAGCAAAGGACATTAGGAAATTTTACTACATGTTCAGGCCTCATCAGTCCTATGTTGACATAGTTGTTAGTCTGTTGGAAGCTTATGACAAAGTTGTGCTGGACAAAAGTTTTTACCTTTATTACAACTTTGAATACTGGTATTTGCCAATGAAATATCCGTATATACAGATCACATATGAGGAAGTACCATTACCGTGACATCTGATGTGCAAATACACCACAGTCACATCAAAGCTGATAATTTTGAGTTTTGTAATTAATGAGTTTAAGACAATACTGATGAATGACTAATTTACTATGATAAAACTAATAAAATATCTTAATGTATATACCAAATGATGGGCACAAGGATTTTTATTTATTTCTTTATTACCAGTATTGAATCATATGTCCAGAAGTATTCCATTCTCTTAGAGGTGACCAGAAAAGCAGGAGGCGTGTTTTAAAGTATTTTGACATTGCTTTTAAAATCTTGTGTAGACACTTGTGTAGCTTTAGAACTGCCATAAACTAAAACTGAAAATTCACTGCACACCATCTGAAGCAATAATGAATAAAATTGTGGTATATTACTGCACACAAGCACAGACAACCAGCCAGGTTTAAAACAGTTACAGCAAACAACCAGCAGTCCAACTATCAGTGATTCAAGATCATCTTTACAGAAAACAGACCAAGTATATTATTAGCATTTTTAACAGGCATTGTTTGTGTTTATGGCTTCACTATTGTGGTCAAATTAAGGTGCTACAGCTTTTTTCTTCTGTAAGACATTTCATTTATTTGCAAAACATTTTTTTTTACAAACAAATGCACAATTCAACAATATGGGCCTTGTAACTTCATATTGCCATCTGAGCAGATCAAGTCAAATGTATCTTCATAAAGAATGTCAATCTTAATACATTAATTAAAACAGATTTTCTGGTGATGAATTATGCTCAGGATTGCTAAAAAAAAAATGTACTAAAAACAGGTGGAAATTTTTTTTTTTTGCCAACTCCAACCTTTTATTTATTTGTATCAAACACTAGGAACAAAAACAAAGAATTGTTTCAACACGCCGCAATATGTTTAAGAAGCAGTAGAATGAAGCCTATGGCTCATTCAGTACTTATTCATTTTCTACTGCTTACAGTTAATAGCATTTCTTCGGCACAACCGTAAAAAAAGCATTTTACAAAAACTTTACATAAATAAATAAATATAGAGCTTGGGATCAAACGGCAAAAACATTTGTGAACAGACGTGCAAAACGTCCAGAGTAATACATTGGCAAAATGAAATAAAGAACAAACAGAAGGGCCATGGAGCAAATAAGCAATAATTGGGGTCACTACTGGTAAATACATATATCACACTCTATTGTTGGAACTCATTTAAATGAAAGCTGTTAGTATTTAACGTCATGAAATCTCCAGTGGTTTAACATTATGCTAAATTCTCATGGCAACATAATCCCGAACTCTATACTTTTATATGTAAAGAGAGAATGAAAAATCTAGTAAAAGAATATCTGTTTATAAAAGACAAGAGAAATTTCAAACCCTGACAGAGGGTGAAATACAGAAATAAGTACATTTCTATTGATGATCAAACACACAGCATTTTATATACAGATTCTATCAACTTCCTTCTTAAAGGAAAAAAGCTTGTTTCACTCATCTGACTTGCCAAACCTTTATAACAGAGTCTAGTGGATGCTTGGATGTGATCAATGACAAAAGCTACAACTCCGCTGGCAATGACATTCCTGCATTATCCTTGGTTCTGTTGCACAGTGCAATGACAGCAGATCAGACAAAGGTAATGAGGAAGGCAGATCACAATAATAAACAAAGGTTTAGAGTTGGAACAGGCAAAGAGCAGAAGATACTAATGAAACCTCTACAGACAATATACAAATAAATGCACAAGAGAACAAAAATGCTGCACTCCCAGCGTGCACAATAGGCTGTCAAAATAATGCACAAAAATCAGTTCACACTATCGAATCAATATTTTCAATCATTCTCAAATTCAGACTCTTTGTGCATTATATACATAACAGTTAAGAAAGTTAAGAAAAAAAATCAACAGTACAAATCTAAAGATATTGTGGCATTTGTGCCCTTGAAGGATCTACTCAGAATTATAAGGTGCTTCTACATATCAAGGTAAATAACATACTTGAAACATGAACTGTGTTTCAGATGTGTTTGATGTAGCAACAGAATAATTTGCATTAACTAAAAAAAAAATGAAATGATTAAAAAAAAAAAAATCAGTTCACAAAAACTTGATACACCTCACATCTCATCAATAGATTTGGGCCTAGTCAGTCTTGCATTGCTATTGACAAATAAGATAGACTACTAGACCAAACTTTTTTTTTTAACTTTAGCTAGATAAGGTGTGGTAGGACCATGTCAGCTCCCAGATGTAGAAAATAAAATAAACCACTACGCTTTTTGCCAAAAACAAGAAAGCTTGTGAATCAGTGTTAGAGTCAACTGGACAGCTTGCCATACTTTCTAACCACCGTATTATGTAAATATTAAAGCATTTGGTGGACTCACATGCACAACTGTGCACATACATACATAGACATTTTATACAGCAATCTAGACGATACAACCTGGCAACAATGTTCATACAATGTTAATAATCATAATTCTTCATGTGTACAGAATGTTTAAGATAAATTCCACTCATTAGATTAAGCTAATTTATTTTTGATGTATAGAATATATAATATTTATGTTGTGTTTTAGGCACCACACTGACATTCTCCTTCACTCAGGAAAAAACCCAAAAAACTCAGGAAAAAAAAACAAAACTTTTTTTAAGCCACCTCCACATTTACAAACATTTCCCTCAGAATGAGGGAAATTCTGAGCACTTATTGCAAACATGGAGATTCAGCCATGGACAAGACTGTCCCCTTCACCAGGTGGGCATCATGTCTGGAAACCAGACTCGCCCTAGATGCTTTGAGACCTCCCAGTGAATCTCATCGAGGGAGTATTTGTGATCTGGAATCAGCACCTCCTCCATGATGGACAGCTGTGAGAGCCGCCGGCCGCACATCTTGACAAACTCTACAAAGGCGCTGCAGGAGACCTCGCACTCTCCCAGTCCGATAGCAGACAGCTGGGTGCAGTGCTTAGCGATACGGATGAGCTCTTCATCCAGAGGACGCAAACCATTGGCACATACTACCAGCTCCACCAGACGAGGGCAGTGTAGGCCCACACGGCCCAATACCTCCTTGCTAACAGAGCGACCAAAGTAAAGATGGGTGACAGGAATTTCATCATTGAAGAAAGGGCCAAATTCCTCTTCATAGAGGAAGAAGTACATGACAAGGTTAAATTTAGGAGAGTGCCGCACCATAGCGTCCCAGCTGCTCTTTTTGATTGTGTGGAAATGCTGACCAGGATTCTCGCTCACAACATCAATACGAAGATGCTCCAGATGAACGTGTTTCTCAGAGGACAAAGCCAACAGGAGCTCATCACTCAGGAGATGGTAGTTGAGGGCCAGCTCTCTTAAGCCATGACACTGGTCAGCTACACACAGGATCCCTGCAATTATGCACAAATATGAATAGGAACATTGGGTTTTGTTTGCATCTTTACTACAGACTAGGGGTATAACGGTACATGTATTCGTGCCAAACTGTTTCGGTACCGGACGTTTGGTTTGGTGCAGGAATGCACAAACCGAATGAGTTCACGCAATTTGTGTGTGTTAACTTCTGCCACTAGATGTGTTTATTCAAGAATATTTTATTTGGCTTATTAGTATTACCAAGCAGCACTTTGCATTTATTTTATTTTCCCATTTCTATAATGTTAAAACAAATTGTTGGTTTAATAAACACATACTGTACCAAAAATTAACCAAACTGAGGTACGTACTGAACCGTGATTTTTGTGTACTGTTACACCCCTACTACAGTCCTCTTTGAAATGTGAATAGTCCCTTATTATAAATTAAGAACATGTTTGTAATTTACCTGGGTAAATAATTGTTATAATTAAATCAAGTACCTGCTGGAGAGACATGAGGACAGCTACTCATTTTGAGGAGTTTAAGAGTATCACTGTTGTTTGCTACCAGCACTTTCAGAGATGGGTCATCTACTGGTGTATCATCAATCTTGAGTGAAGATAATGATTTGGAGTTGACAAATACCACAGTAAGAGCTGAGATAAAGTGAGACTGTGAAAAGTAAAATAAAAAGTTAGTTAAATCAGTGTTGCCTTTCTAATAAGTCACTATTTCACTGTGAACCTGTGTAATCCAACAGCTACAAGTCATTTCTTTGTGTGTAGGGTCTCTTAAACTCACATGTTTCTACAACATAGGCAGTATTATGGTTATTGTGCGGAGAGTGTAACCAAGGCCTTGTAATGTGAACATTTCAAGGCTATTGTGATAGTCTAAATGTTAAGAGCCTGTGTTCAGTAAAAAGACACAATATAACTTCTGGGCTTTATTCTTGTAAATGTCATCTTGCTTCTCCTTGTCCATGTGTGAGAATTCTTGAATCTTAGATCGTTTTCACACTATCACTAGTTAGGTTGACAAAAAAAGAGCATTCACTCCAACAGAGGAGCGCTTTGGCCAGTGTGAACATAGCTGCATTCTGATTCGCATTAAAAGCTCGCACCAAGCATTCTGAGTGCTTGGATCATGTAGGCCTTTACAGGCTATGAATGGGTGCTGTACAGCTGCTGTTTGACACGTTCCTCTGGCAATTTGGATAATCTTCAGCGAGACACATCTCCTCCTGCCTCTGTCTGCGTCACCAGCGTGTATAGCCTTCATGGTGTATTTAGCCTCAGGTGAAAGGCCACAGTGTACAGTGGCAGTGATTGCATGTTTGCATATTCACAGGGCTTTGTGTGTCCACTTAAAGCACACTGTCATAAAAATAAGTTCAGCAATCAGCTGATGGACTTTCACATGGCTCATGGTGCATGTTTTGGGTGAATGATGCGTGGTGTATATGAACAAGACCCAAAAGTAAAGTAAACAGAACTAAATCTATTGCACACTGGAGTCAGTCCAGAGAGCACAGTAAAAATGTACGAAAATAAGCTTACTTGTAGACAGAGGCAGAGGTGAAATAACAACGATAATAAAACAAATACACTTGGTCTCTGTGGTGCTTTTACCTTTGGGACCTCCATAAAGCTGGGCCTAGCAGTTGAGATGAGTCCCAATGTTTTAAGAGAACAGTTGACCAACTGTGAGAGGATGTCACAGGCAGCCTCTGCCGACTCTGTGCTGCTGTCCACCTGACAAGAGTAAAACACAGTATTATATACACTCTGCATACCTGAAAGGGAGGGGTTTGGAGACTCATTCCCACCTTGAAGCTAACATATTGCAGGTGATTGGAGTGTCTTTTTATGATCTGCTTAATGAGATCAGGATGTGTGGCCTTGAGGTAGGAGCTGGCTGGTTGGTTGAGCTCAAACTCGAAGCACCTCCACAGCTCTGGCATGTGGAAAGCCTGGTTCCACCCCCGGCACACCTGAGAGGCATAGGCCCGGTCCAGAAGCGGAAGGTATTGAAAGATATGCAGCAGGAGCTCCTGGGGCAGCCGGGCCCAATCACAGCCTGGTGCTGCACTGTCCCCCTCTGCCACAGGCTCCTCCAGGTCCTCCGGCCGCATCCTTTTATATGGCTCAGATTGGTTTACACTGGGGGAGCTGTTACTGTCCTCCTCATTACCTTTCATGCGTTTCATCCTATCAAGAAACCCAACAAATATATGTCAAAATGAGTTGGAGAAAAATAAGTTTGAAATTGAAATAATAAAAACAAATCCCCAGTTGCTCCAGCAGATTGCAGATAGTGTTATTTACGATGAAATAATATGAATGAGAGGCCCACGGTCAAAACGTGTAGCCTTGTAAGTGTATGTCTAATAAGGGCAGCTAGCTATGCGCACAGAAGTTACATCTGCTTTTTATGTTAATGGTTTATACCAGCTACACTATGTTGCTACCTATTACAACATACAAAAAGCAAAAACAGCTCAAAAGAAATGTGCGCATGGATGGAAACACTTCCCACACGTATCCTACCTTGATGTTTACAGTCGCTTATAGTTAGGAAGCTGTTAGCAGGAGGATCCGAGAGAGATTGACACTTCAGCCTGGGCCCACGCTGCATAAACTCATCCGTATGAACCAGATCGCACGCATTAGAGCACAAAAACAGAGCCACTTGACCACGGATAAGAGCGGGAGACGTTTTCAGAAAAGAATCGGCGTGAGTCCTGCACCTCCACTCGATTGACCTAGTTCCTTAGTGGGAGCTGGTGGCGGTGGAGTGACCCCCCTTAAAACTGAAATGGCGAGTGTTGTTGTGAGTGGTGCGGTGCATTGTGGGAAATGCAATCTGAAATGGCTGTTGGAAAGGCTTGTCTATGCAGTTGAGTTGATGGTTTACTGAGCAGAAAGAATAATACTTATTATAATAAAAATGGTAGAGTAGAGTAGCTCTTATCTATATTTTTCCAAGTAACGTGGTATTTGTTTGTATCAGTACTATATACCCAAGAAACAATTTAAGGTGCACTGAAGGGAATATCACCTGCTTTGTTATTGCTTTGTCTAAAATGTTCATGGCATTTAAACCTGTCTATTTATAAAGCACATAAAATTAAACAAATTTATGCAGATGAATACAACACAATATTTCCATGAGGACAAGCAGAAAAGTTACATGGGGCACAGTGAAAAAGAAAGACACAGTAATAAAGCATTGGGAAACAGAGAACCTGGTTTATTACCATTCAGCTCCATCCACAACAAATATTACAGAGCAGATTCACGTGTAATAAGCTTTTTATTTAACAGCAGCTCTTATTCTCTACACTCTGTTTCAATGATCCCAACCCCCCTGCCTCCTGCTTGGAAAAAGGATGATGGGTGCACAGTTTGGTGTCAAGACGGGCCCTCTCTCCTAACTCAACTGTCAGTCTCCTCCTGAGTGTTTCATTTTTTAAAATATTTTATTTTATTTCACCAAGGGTTGCAAATATGATTTATGACAGTATGTTCCAGGTATCTACTTCTCATAGACAATGGAAGAGAGCTGACATTTAGGAGATACTGACTACTGTATAAAAATGTACAGTGGCTTTATCGACATACATTCCATAGGTTTAACAGCTGCAAAATAGGAGGCACACCCAGTATTGCACTTCAATAAAAGTTCTGGCTCCAAACATAATCCAGAATATCAAACAAAAATGAAGTGAAGAGTAGCAACTTTGTAATACAGCTATTTTGAATAATATCATTATATACAAGATTAGATAAATCATACACTATTTTCCGCCTAAACATAACATTTTAACAGTCTTTTCCACCAACAATTTTTTATCTGTCAACCCATGATGCACTTGACAGTGGAGAATACTGTACAAGATACGAAAAGTTACATATAACAATATTTTAAATTTATAGGAAGCTGGAAATGCAGCCTGTTCCTTTTTTTTAAATCCCACACTGATCCAAACTTGCCTTATTCTATACTCTTTGTTAAACCTTGTAATGTTACACTTCAGAGATCAGGAGGTGTGCAACGTCTATAGAAGCCGAGGGGAATACACCGGCTGCATGCAAACACGTCACAAGTAATTTTCTTTTTTCCTTTTTTAAAGTTATTGTTCTGTATTTAATCAGGTTACGTCAGAGTAGCCACCACTCTTATATGGCAGAGTACACGTTACTGATGCAGACCTGAAGACGCCTGGCTGCGAGCAAAGACCTGGTCCAGAACTGGGCAGGAAACTCGATAACACCAAGCTTCACGGCTGAGTCTCAGCTGCAGCCAAATCACAGTAGAGAACTGTTTGTACAGTTCAGGTTTTAAAACGTGTGAGCATTTCTACACACACCACAGCCCAAAGCAAACTCCTCTCCTGTTGGAGGGTGTACCACATGCAATGGGCACTCTGTTCCCTCCAACTGCTTGCCTTTTGGCCCTGTGAAAGAAATAGTATTTGTGAGCAAACTTTGAATGGCTGCACATGTGCAACAATGTAAAAAGAGCAGTTACACACCTGCAGGACAATGAGGCAGCTCCTCTTTTGGGATGCTGGTCATCCTTTGGAAGTCATCATGACAGGCATTGCAGAAGTGGGTGGTGCCAAAGCAGAAGAAAACCGCCACAGAGCAGCAGTACCGGCATTTATACTCCAGGAAGTCTGTACCATGCTTAGAGCACATCTAGCAAGTACACAAAAAGCAGCATTAAAGATAAATGTATTTTTTGTATGTATCTATATATAATACATGTATTGTACAAAAGTATGTTGCATGTTTTTTGGTCAAACTGTTGAGTTTTTTTGAATAAATCGCTCACCTGAGCCCTAGACACATCTGAACAAGCTCCACAGATAAGCTCACTGGGGTCATAGTCATCTCCCTGTCCCGCTTCAGCATCACAGCGTGCCTCTCCTCCAAAATAGGCCTAGTAAACAATAATAATATGAACTCTCAATGTTGACAAACATCACCAATTAAACGTTTAATTAAAATAATAGACGATGGAGAACCTTCTTGCATTTGTAGCAGACATAATATGCATATCTGTTCATAGCAAATCCTGCAGGGTCATTATGGAAGCGTGCTCCAGGAGTAGTTATTGCCTCACTCTTGTGTAGACCCTCGTACTCCAGTCTCATCAAAGCCTTCCTCCTTACATCCTCATAAAGCTCTTTAATGGGATCCAGCAGGTCCTTGAGCACAGAGTGGTTGATTTTGTTCTATAGATATGACAAAAAACAACCACATTTAGTCACATGAACAGGAATAAGGGAATTAAATATATATTTTAAGTTCTGCATAGGAAACATACCTTGCAAATGGGACACTGCATAAAACCGAATGTAATACGAGGCCCAAGCCAACGATTTTCCAGAACACGACGAGTGCACTGAAGGTGGAATACGTGAGTACAATCCAGCTGCAAACAGAACAGATTTATGAATTAAACAAACAAACAAACAAACAAACAAACAACAATCCATAGGTCTACTATCATGTTTTGTCTCTACCTGTATTGCAGGGGCAGCTGAGAGGGCTTCGGTAAAGCAGATCATACACATGTCATCTGCATCCTGTTTCAGGCAGCCAGTGTTTTTGTCACAGCCATGCAAACAGGGCAAGCAACTGTCTTCATTCTTGACTCCACCACACGGGTGCCCACAAGCATGTGTCTTACTGCAGGCAAGTTTGGCATACTCCTACAAAAGAGATAAAACGGAAGTTAGGGAAAATTATTACAAAAAGTGCCAATGTAGTGTTTGGCAACTGCAAGTACCTGGCAGTCTGGGTCTGAACAAACACTTCCCACAGCCGAGAGCTCAGTTCCATTCCTGGTACCACAGAAGCGGCAGGCGTCTGAGCTGCTGGATGCTGGTTTACCTACAAATAACACACTTCTTAATATCTGAACAAATATCCAAATCCATGACAATCACAGGTTACCCCAACATTAATAACATAGTAGTTACCTGTGTGCTCTCTAAACTCCACCATGGCTTTCATAGTTTTTGAATCAGCCAAGGCCATAAGCCAGAAAAGTTTGGTCCTTCCACAACCTTCATGGAGATCCACCTTTATAGCCTCCTCTTCCTCCTTAAATACCTGTGCAATAAACATAAAAATATTACTTTAATTTATTTGTATGTGTGTGTATATACACTATTTATACTATATTTATTTATGGACTTCCACTGACCTGTCTTTGGTGAGAGCGTGTGCGCCGATGCAAGTGGAGGAATCTGTCACAATCAGTACAAAGGTTGCCACAAATATTACACAGGATGATGGCGGCTGTCTCTCCATCGTCATGGTTATCACACATGGGCTGTAAAGAACAACAGATACAAATTTTAAAAATATATTTTATTAGAATTTTTCATGAGTGTTTTACTATAACTACCATCTGTTTTTGTTGACCATCTTTGCCCATCCACCGGCCAGAGGACAGCCTGTCTACATGATCTTGGTCCAAAACACAAAGTGAAGCCAAGGCTAACCAAAGCTGTGGGGGAAAAAAAGAAGTTGAGTCTAGAGCTATAGGTGATTTAAATGTATACAGTGTATTAATTTACCCGTGTTGTGGCGATACATCTTACAGGAGATCTATGCTCTTCCTCCATTTTGGTCAGAGCAATGATAGTCTCAGCAATGGCATTTTTGGTGACTCTGGACCATGCATCAGATAAATGGCCCTTTACAAATAAAAGTATATTTGTAAAGACAAACAATAACTGGGTACATAGATCAAGGAACATAGAAAAACAGAGAAAACTTACTGCTGCCATGTCTTTGACCAGCTTTATGATGATCTCTGCTATTTGTGGAGGAGTGGAGCCTTTCATCCACCAGTGGCTCTCACCTCTTCGGATGTAACTAAAGAAATATTGGACAGTTACTCAAACCACAAAATCAGTCATTTGTATGATTTCAAATATGTGAATACACACCTCGAGTTGAAGATCATTGGCAGAGTGACTGTTGTTACCCCTTTGCCCACAGCCATGCCAGCAGTGCCAGAGATGGTTGTACCTTTGGCTTTGAGCTGCACAGTAAGGGCTTTAGCAATGCAGCCCAGAAACATGTCTAAGATGCCCAATTTGTTCCAGTCGCCTTTCTCAGTGGAGTGGATAATGTCACTGATATCTGCAGGGGGCAGAGCCTTCACTCCAATAATGCTGGCCAGTCGTACTGGGGTCACCTCAGGTAGTACCCGTCTAAGTAATGATGTCACCTAATAGTAATACAAGACAACTGCGTAAAACATAGTCAAAAGCCCACATGGTGCCCTTAGAAACAAACAAAAAAAAAAAAACAGCCCACCTGTCTTTGTACTCGTGGAGAGGCGGTATGAAGCAGTGAGAAAAGATCTTGCATAAGAGTTAGCTGTTGTGCTAGATACTGGCGGCCCACATTAGAGCCACTGAGAGCAAGGACCATGGACAGGAGCTCAAAGCAGTAGGCATCTGAAGAAGCATCATCATCACTGGGCTGAGAATTGGCATTCTCTTTACTGGAGATAGCATGCTCCCACTCCTCCCTGACTCTTGTGGCCTCCATACGAATAGCTTGAACGATATGTGCACACACCTATTTGGGAAATTTTACCAGTTAGTTGATGTGTGAAGATGAAAAGGGCATACTTATAGGACCTGAATATTTACTTGTTTCTGGAGATTAGTGAGTTTGCTTCTGCTAAATATGATGCCAACCATGTGCTCCTTGAGGTCTGCATCAGAAGGTGCCTGTAAAAAATTCAAAATAAAAAAATATACAAAGTTTCATCATT